TAAGAAATGGGAGTTTATAAGAACAATATATTATACGCCTCGAGAAAAAGTTATAAAATGCAGAAGCCATCGGAGTTACTAAATAGCCGATAAAACGCAAAGCGCACCAAGTTCCATCAGCTCCTTCATTTCGTTCTTTAGAGACTGATCGTCAGTACCCTTGCGAATTGATTTCGCTGCCTTCATGCTCCGCTGTTTAGCTAGTTTCATCGTCCTCCGTAAATCTTTCAAATTTCGAATTGTATCCTGGCCCATCAGAATAGCACCATCCGAACTGCATGGATCTTCACTATCTGAATCAAATCAGCGATGAAGGAAAATGACGACCGTCAAATTCCCTTTTTGCATTTCTGCACATAAGCTTCTTAACAGAAGTCAGAAAATTTGTAATTATGCTTTCTTAGTACCTATAAACTGCCATTACGAGCACAGTGACATCGTTTGAGCGCAGACTGCAAAATGCTAATTTAAAGTTGAACTTTCCACGACTTGCTTCAGCCCTAAATACATTTAGGCCACTTTCGGTTTGCTTCTCAGAGGTCTTAATAAAAGAAAAACCACAGGCGCTTCAGAGAATAAAATGTCTAAAGTTCAAGTGAGCTAAATGCCTGTCCACGAAATAACAACACTATTAGTTTACAAAATAACCCTTCAGGAACTATGAACATAAGGAGACTTGAGCTTACTGTGCAGTACAGAAATCATGAGTTGTCCGCCTAGCAAAAGCGAGGCCACTTAGAGCCCATTTCAGAGAGACGCTGGCAATAACATCCCTAATCTCATTCAACATTTTATCCCTGTTCCTCAACAAGACAACTCTTCTTCTGTGACTTAATTACGGAGAACGTAAAGCTGGTTTTTCGACTCACTCGTCTAATTTCATAGTCTTTAAGCTAATTTTGCGCCACTCACGCTTAGCTGCACAGTTTGCAAACCGGTTAAACCAATCATCCCAATATACACAAGAAAAGGGATTTCTAAGCACACTTATAAGCAACTGTTCAGATCAAGCTGCAAATTATCCATGTCAGCTTCTAGTTTGGCAATTTCACTAGCAATTTTCATCCATGGTTTCCCATAAATCAGCTTTTCAGGACATCCGCAAGAGGTGACCAGCCCAAACATAACCAGGGAGTTCCCTTGGCATAAACAGCTTAACAAAACCAAACTGAGATTCATTAAGAACACTTTGACGCGCCAGTCGCTTTGGTGATAAGCAGTGAATCGAATGGTGGCCTTAAAGGAAGGGAAAAGAAACATCCAAATGATTCACAGAATGAATGCGAGGATTGATGAGGGCTGAGGAGAGAGAAAGGATGTCCAAGACTGACAAAGCTGCATCTGAGGTACAGCTGTAACACTGAGCTCCACAGTGTGAGTTTGAATGGTCTTTATGATGCGAATGCATCAAAAAATCGCGTAAATGAAAACGGGCGATTTTGTCATCAGCCAACAGTCGTTCTGACATCGCGCAGAAGTGATTTAAGTCCTTCTTCAATATGTCTACATAGGGAGGTGCGTCGCTCGCCCGCAAATATACGAAAAGCAAATAAATCGGTTAGAAATAATATAAAAGTGGGCAGAAAGAAAATACCATGGTGAGACGCTTTGTCTGCGCTACTGGCCAGATACTGCTGTGGATTAACGACGCTCTCCGAATCCAACTTCCGTCCACTCCATTTTCTCGCAATGGCTGCTTCGTCTTTGGCTTTTTGCAGAAGTTTTTTTACCGACTCTTCTGTACTGCTCTCCCGGTTTACAATGCATGTCTAAAATTCGGTTACGTTTAAGCAAAATGATAGCAGTGCGCCGGTTTGATTTCGCTCCTTGCTGAGTCTCTTGCGCATTTACTGCACTGACACTCATCTCTCGTTACTCATAGCTGAATAACAAAAGGCAATCAC